GGGTGGAGCAACGCGGGGGTGTAACCGCGACCCGGCTTCGCGCTCGCGCTCCCGGCCGACACCAGTCCACCCCGCGGCTGAAACTTTCACAAGAACGGCGGAGTCGGCGGGGCCACGGGTCGCTCTGCGGCAGGACAAGGACACCCACAAAGCGAAATGAGGACAGAAAGAAAAAAAAAGGAGGGGGAAAAAACAACAAACGGCACTAGACTGCGACATCTTGCGCAGCGCGGGGCAAATGAACGTGCTCCAATACAAAGAGATTCACTCCCGAGTCGAGCCATTATGCCCAACTCTCTACCTTGGTGTTCGTTCGTCTTCTGAACCAGCACAGCAGCAGCAGAGAGGGAGGGAAAGAGAGAGAGGAAGGGAATGAGGGGGAGGGGAGAGAGAGGGAGGGGAGAGAGAGCAAGAGGAGGATAGCAAGGGCGAGAGGAGGAGGATTGGGGGCTATCGGCGAGAGAGATATTCCCCCAGTAAAAGTCAACGTGACGTAATCGGTGCAGGCCCCCCCCCCCCCAATCTCTGTCTGTCTGTCTCTCTCTCATTCTCTCTGTCTCTCTCATCCTCTGTCTCTCTCATTCCCTCTTTCTCTCCTTCTCTTCCCCCGCACACAAACTCCTTTGCGGACGATTGACCTGCCCCACGACTGCGTACCCCGCCTCGCCCTGATGTACCAGCCGGAACGCAAATATCGAGGGGTAAAAACAGAAACAAAACGGAGGAAAAACAACAAAAAATAACCCCCTTCCGAACTGCTCTCCTCTTTGCTGGTTGTTGCGAGCTGTTCGCGTAAAGAACGAGAATACCGACTCCGAACGCAGTCCTCACCCCCTCCCATATATTCTTCATTTGTGATGGACAAAATGCAAAAAAGTATCCCCACCTTCAAACTACTGCGCTCTCCGCCCTTTTTTTGGTCGAGTGGAGAGCGCATCGCTATAGCCTGCTGTAAACTGTAAAATAGGCCTAACCATTATTGTAAATATCGACGTCGTCCACTTTAAAATGCACGCGGTCCCCAATAACTGTCTGTAAAACTGAATGTTTGCAATCAAACAACACTTTGAAACTGTCAACTACTATACTAACACAATTAGACAACCCCCATTTTGAATTGTAAATCGTAGATGAATATATTTTTATACAGTGCTTTTGGCGAGTGACCTGAAATACAGTAAATTTAACACGTTCAGTGCCACACGACCACCATGTTTCCAAATAGCTAATTTTAAGTTTTAATTTCTCAAACCCTGGGGGTTGATGCTAGACCAAAAATATGTCTGGCCTAGGGGTGTCTCGGGTAGACAATCAAAACCCCGCCTTTGGCCTGTGGATCGGAGATAAAGATACGACCGGTAGGTGTCCATATGGCACTCAAGG